ATCCTCCTCCTCAATCAGTTGGCGAGAAAGACATTTCAGGATCTCGACCCTATCTGGTTGAACCGTATTGTCAACTAAGGTGGCCTCACCAGCCAATCTGTCGGCTTTTTCATTTCCCCTAACACCTGCATGGCCAGGGCAGAAAATCCATGTGAGCGATCGTATAGGCGTTGTTCTCTCTCTCCTCTCTCTCTCTCTCTCTCTCTCTCTCTCTCTCTCTCTCTCTCTCTCTCTCTCTCTCTCTTTCTCTCTCTCGCTCTCTCTCTCTCTCTCTCGCTCTCTCTCTCTCTCTCTCTTATTTTTCTTTTCTGCTCCGCCCTTTCCCCAGGCCCGTCCCGCCCCACCTCTTTCAACCTAGCCCAATTGGACAATCCTCCTTCACCTCTCCCTTGTGCGCATTTCCCCTGCCCTCTACCCCAACACCGGAGTCGAATTGGGGTATTTTTGCAGAGATACAGGTATTATAGAGATGTAAGCCTACCTCATTCTCATCCTGGTTTGTTGTCTGTGGTTTGTTCAGTTGCCTATATCTCTGGATAAAAAAAATACCCATCTGTCTTAAAAATAAAAGTTGAGATCTAAGGAGGTAGGGGTAGACCGATATCAGAGGTTAAAATATTATAAGCAAGAAAATGGCTTCCAAAGTTGCTCAGTCCTTGGAAATTAAAAATATACGACGAGTGCTTGAATTTACCGCGATGACTCACAAATATTTTTATCAGATTTCGTGTGATTTTTTTGCATTCTTGTGAAATTAATTTTTGATGGTTGCAGGATGGAACATTGCAAGAATGGAAGCCAGTGACTGTGAGCCAAGAGTTACAGGACTCTGTCAAGTTTCTGGCCTCTAGTGGCATGAGTCAGCTGCTCCAGGAGTGGCTTCTGGAGACTATCTTCCAGGATCTCAGCAAATGGGTTGGGCCTGCGTTCTGGTGGAAATTCAAGGAACTCGGTGATGACAGTGCCAAGAATCAGTCAGCTTTTTGTTGTGCTTTTGAATATTTGTACAGTAAGTGGAGAATGTGTTGTTGGTGTTTTTGTTCCAACAGAAATTGGGTTTAAAAAGAGAAATGTGTGGTTTTTAAAAATTTAATTGGTTATGTTGTTCCATGATAATAGTCCTGATTGGAGGTCATGGAGGAAGAAGAGAATGAGAAAGTTCAAGGTTGTTTTTTTCTAGCTTTGTTTTTTCAGGTTACGTGTGTTTGGCATTTTGTGGCTTTGAGAAAATCGGTTTGGAGATGCGGAAAGGAAGATATTTTGAGTATGATAGACCTCACAAATGAGGCTTTATAAACCATTTTTTAAAGTCATAATTCATAAGTTTAGTTTTTTGCTACAATTTCAATACAGTCCGTGCCGGCTTTAAGCATGCCGGTCTTAAGCACTTTTCGGACTCAAGCACGCAAAACGGCTCTTACCGAATTTTTGCTATATAAATTACACGCCTATAAGCACGGTAACTTCGGCTTCAAGCACGCTTTATTTACAAGACAGTCAATATTTTCATGATGACCCATCGAAGTTCGAACACAGTCTACACCGCAGCAGAGGAGTTTGTCAAGAGAAACACAAAGAACGCAAGTGATGGACACACACACTCACACGGGCGGAGAGGAAGGCAGATGCACACAGCCGTGCGCGCGGACATAGGATCTAGCCTAGGCCTAGGGCCTAGGGCAAAGCTACACACGACCAAAAAAAAAAAAATACGAAGAGAGTCGGAGAGACGAGAACGGGAGGCTGGCTGCGATTTCACCTTTGACCCTCGCTATCCATTAAACCTGATTGTGTATCACGCGCGAGGTGGGATGAAGGCGGTGGTATGAGTGGCACAGCGGCGGGCAGTGTGTTACGGTAGGCCTAGTGTGCTGTATCGTGACTGGCCGTCTAAATTAAGTTTTCATTTCCCATTCGACCACAAAACAAAAAAAACAAGTGAACAAAAACTACCATGGCGGGTGTCTAAATAACAGTGCAAACTTTTGCGGGACCGCTATAGGCCTACTTACAAACAAAGGGAAATAGCACGCGGAATTTTCTACATGAAAATCTCTGGATTATGTCTAGTTTGCACTCAAGCACGCTTCGGCTTTAAGCACACTTAAGCTTTCTCCCGATGACCGTGCTTAAAGCCGGCATGGACTGTACTTCTAAATTTATTTTGAGAACATGATGCAGAAGCTAGTTTTTGCAAGAATCTGAAACTGTTTATTCGTGTGGATGGGCTCTTATTTTCATGCAAAATCCTTGGTGCAATAGCTTAATTCTTTTAATACAATAAAAGAAAGAAAATTTAACTGCTTTTTCTGGGAAGCCCTGAGCGCATCGTTGGTGCCGCATGCAATCTACTGAAGTCTGTGTGCTTTTTATGTCAGAGATAAAAAAAAAGTTTTTGTTGTGTTATCCTTATCAAGAATCATGAAAAGCAAGAAAATTGTTAGCCTAGACCATTGCATTAAACTGCATTTTGGTGATGTTGAATGTTGTATCTTTGAATAGAACTTTGAGAGGGTGTAAAAATTTAAAATTCTCAAAATTTAGAATGAAGTGGATTACTCCCGACAGCAACGATTGTATACAGTCCGAAGCCTGATGAAATTGGGAATTCCACATGAAACTGATTTTCTCCATCATTTGGCCTTCTAGAAATAAACTAAATGAATAAATCTAGTCCAGTTTCTTTTAGAAATAATATTAAAGTATATTTTTTACTGTTGATGATCATTCTTTCTGAAAAGTGTGGGATTCATGATTTACATTTTCGAATCTCTCCTGATACGGTCATGAATTCCAACAATTTCATCAGTAGACATTTTGAAACACCATGTTGTATTCATGGTTATTAGACAGTGTTTTCTCTCTATTAGAGGCCCTTATATGTTTAAAAATATATATGAAAGCCTGCAATACTGTTATATTTAAAACTATAAAAAAGATTTTAAATGACCAATTTAAAACTGAGTATGATAATATACCATCATTTTGGCCTTCAAGACTTAAACGAAATGGATAAATCTAGTCCTGTTTCTTTTAGAAATAATGTTAAAGTACATTTTTTACTATTGATGGTAATTCTTTCTGAAAAGTGTGGGATTCACAGGTTTACATTTTCGAATCTCACCTGATACGGTTTTGAATTCCATAGTGGAATTTATTGTTTTATCAGTAGATATTTTGAAACACTGTGTTGTATTCAAGGTTATTAGGCAGTGTCTTCTCTCTTATTAGAGGCCCTGATACATTTTAAAATATATGAAAACTGCAATACTGTTATAAAAAAGATTTTAAATGACCAATTTAACACTCCTCACCCAAATCTCCCAGTAGGCTGCCGCCCAATCCTGGACGGCAGTCTAGAAAACTCTTTACCTCCCCCGCAAGGAAGAGTCAGGGTATTTCGAAGCCGGGGCCTCTATGAGCTCCAAATTAAAAAAACCTTTCGTATTGGCAGTTCTGCAAAGGAATGCCGGCAGACTCTGACCTTCCTTTGCAGAATTGCAACACTTATAGGCCACATTGTACTCACTTGTGGTCAGTATCCAGGAGACAGACAAAGTTTGCCCCGGCTTCAACTGTAGACTTAAAAGGATTTACGGTGTACCATCATATTCACACGGAGAATCAGATTGCTTCCGGTGGAACCACCATCTACACCGACAACGACACACTTCACAGACAAGTACATCTTAGGACGACCCTTCAGGCTATTGCTGTACGGGTCACCCTGCACAGATCAATCACGATCTCCTCTGTTTATATCCCACCTAATTGCCTCCTCAAAATAACTCCACTAAATGATTTAAAATTCCAGCTCCCAAAACCATTTATTTTGCTAGGTGATTTTAATGCCCACAGCCCCCTTCGGGGAGACAAACCCACAGACCAGAAAGGGAAAAATAATAGAAGATTTTTTGTTTCATGATAACATCTGCCTCTTACTCTTAAATGATAGGTCCCCCACTTACAGAAACAGATCCACTTTTGGCACTTCAACACTTGACCTCACCTCTTGTACCCCTGACCTATTCCCTGGTCTCGAGTGGTCTGTACTGGATGACCGTACAGACCATTTCCTAATTCTTTTAAAAAAAACCAATAGCCTCCAAACCGACCCGATCCCAGAACGCTTCAATTTAAAAAAAAGCACACTTGGACCTGTTCACCATTGGATGTTCCCAGATTTTGAACCTCACTTTCGAATTCAACTACAACAATTTCCATGAATTGCTTATAGAAATATGTCACAAATTATTTATAGAAATATGTCACAAATTATAAGACATCTCCAAAACCCTGGAAGAACATGATTTGGTTCTCTGGGGAACTTGATGATGCAGTAAAGAAAAAGAAGGCAGCATGTCGGAGAGCCATCGACAACACCACCACTGAAAACTAAATTAATTGTTTAAAAGCTCAAGCTGAGGCACGTAGATGCCTCAGGGAGAGCAAGAGACAATCCTTCAGAAAATACATTTTCAAAATCAACAGTCAGACACCACTCAACCAAGTATTTAAGATCACTAAAAATATTTTTGGGTAAACGCACAGACACAATCCGGCATGTTCAGAGGTCGGATGGAACCACAGCTGAAACACAGGTAGACATCACAAACACAATAGTTACATCTCTCTCCAAAAACTCATCCAAAGCGAACTACAACACCACATTACGGAACATCAAAACTAACAGAGAACAACAACACCTGAATTTCCACTCAAACAACACTGAAAGCTACAACGCTGACTTCACATCGTGTTGTTTTCTTATGTATCAATGCTTGTACTTGTCCTGTGTGAAGTTTCATTGACTTCTGACTAAGTTTAACTTTGGGCCCTTGTGTAACAAAATTGGGAGCACCTTTTGAGAATTGCTCATATATATAGACCCATTGTCCCTGGGATCCATGTGCAACATCTTCTTTGGTGCATTTTCCTTTTCTCCACCCTTCTTCTCCTTCCCCTTCTTCTATCATTTCTTCCACCGCTTACCTTACCCCATGTGCAGCAAAACTAGAGGTGATATTGCTGTCTTTCCAAATGGTTTTTAACTTGGTCATTGCTGCTGAAGTTTGCCCTATTCTGGAGAATATTGCTGGTTTTGATCTTTCGTCTGTCACTATTGCAGGCAGGTACTTGAAGCTGCGTAGGGTCTCAAGCTTCTGATTGTTGACTGGATGTCCACTGTGATGTTTTTGCTGCTATTAGACAAACTAACACTTTTTTAAAACCCGAAAATAGTCAAATTGCAGTTAAGAATTATTTCCTTAACTCCATCTCCCAGCTATGGGATAAAAACTAACCTACTTCACTTCACTTTCACCTCTATCCTGAAGAGTGGATGTTCGTCGGGGCTTTTGAAGATTTGACCACCAGCTTCCTCCACTCCTTCCGCTCTTCAGAGCGTGTCTTCGAGGTCCAGGCCTGTCCATTCCTTGATGTTGTCCTTCCAACTCTTCGTCGGTCTGTCTCTGCTCCTTTTTCCCTGGACGCTGTCTTGCAAGATCATCTTGGCAAGGCCGGATGAACGGGTGAAGTGTCCGTGCCGTTTGCCGTTTGTGTTTCCTGACCAAAGTGAGAAGGTCAGGGTATGGTCCAATTGTATTTTTGATCCGTTTTTTGACTTCATCATTTGTGATGTGATCTTTGTATGAGATACTAAGGTTTTTTCGGAAGCATCTCATCTCCACAGCTTAATCCTTCTTTCAAGGTCTTCATTCAAGGTCCAGAATTCACATGCATACAAAAAAAAATTTAAAAATACTGACATGACCAGGAACGCATGAGTCTGATCTTTGATCTGATGGTGATATTTCTGTCTTTCCAACTGGTTTTCAACCTGGTCATT